TATTTTTTTTCTGGATAAAAAGTGTCCTATGTCTCAATCCAGGTCATCTTATATATAAAATTCTTGTGTCACAATGTTAGTTACCGTACACCTAAGAAACGACTTGACCGATTTTTATAAAATTTTATATGCATCCTAGCGGACCCGACAGACGTTGTCCTGTCTACACGTCTTTGTGAATCTAAACCATTCTCAGATCCCCTTGAACACACACAAAAAATTTCATCAAAATCGGTCCAGTCGTTTAAGAGAAGTTCAGTGACATACACACTCACAGAAGAATTATTTATATATAAAATTCTTGTGTCACAATGTTAGTTACCATACACCTAAGAAACGGCTTGACCGATTTTTATAAAATTTTATATGCATATTCAGTAGGTCTGAGAATCGGCTACTATCTATTTTTCATACCCCTAAGTGTTAAGGGTTGTCCACCCCTAACATATTATTTTTATTTTTGACGTGACAACGTCTTAAATTAGGTTGCGGCTGGGAGTCACTTATGAAAAAGTGTAACGCTCGGTAACGTTACGATGAGTCTCTCGTGTTAAGTTTAAGTTTACATGTACAATGTTTTAGTAAACAAAATATATTTCTATAGTTAAAATTTGTGCAATTCTTATTTTCATTCAATTCCTTGTTCCTATTGTGCAATTTAATTATATTCATATCAATAAATATTCTACCGAGAAAAAGACGTTGTCACGTAAAATCTTCGCCCGTAAAACCGACTTTACAGGCAACCATTTTTTTGGGACATTTTTTTTTATTGTTTGGCATTTAAAAATACATAGGTCCGTCCACCCTAAATTTTCACCTTTCTACCATCAAACCCTATTTTTATGGCGACACGAAGTCGGGTGAGCTAGTAAACTATAAACGTATCAAATTTCATCTCAATACGATCAGTAGTTTTTGCGTGATTGAGTAACAAACACACAAACCTTACAAACTTTCACATTTATAATAATCCTAGTGAGACTAATTGCTAGAACAGTATTGGTAATCTGCTTATTATCAGCAACACCGATATGGTATCGCGTTATTTGCTCATCCAACGAAAAACTCGCTTTTGAAGAAAATCTCCAATTTATAAGTTTGATATTTCAAAGTTTGTGGAAAACTCTACGTCTGTCGGAGATACCGTCTCGTCCGAATGATGCTGTATTGTTAGCTCAACAAACTTGGCCGGGATGAAAATTTCCCAAGCAAAAATGCAGCACGCTAAATTGCTTCATAACATTATGTAAGCTGGTGTAATAAGGTTCACAGTTGCTCGTGTTAAAGTGTCTCGTTTCAGAATAGAGATGTATTGTTCTTTTAATATCATAAAAACGAAAAGTAAAAACTCTTTTCTGTAAATTTATGAAACTGTATTATTTGCTGATTAGCCGTGTATAAAATGATGTAAAATATATGTGGTACGTCATTGTTATATACTATTATGTATATAATAGTTTTACCCTGACTTCCCTCGACAATGGCCGCCCATAGACCGCACTAATATCTCTATTTCACTCTTATGCATAAGGCAGATTACATCTCGCACTTTCGCCTCTTGTCAACAACTGTCAAATCAAGTAATATCTAAATATTTTTACATTATTTTCATCAAAAAAACTAGTTACAAATGAAATGGCACGTTTTTCTTGTCTCTAGCAGTTTCTGTGTAATTTGTGCACCATCTAAATACACAAATATAGCCGCGGCGAGAGAGCATCACCATCTGCAAATGCAAGTCCTGACTTTTTTGCCACTCTAGAGCTTGTATGACGTATCTATAACTATAAAACATCATTTCGTGAATGATAAAAATAATCAGTAAGTTTAACCCGTAATACTGTGGGTGTCCTTTCTGGTCATAATTTTTTCATTTTCCATTCATTACCAATGTTTATAACTCAATTATGTAAAAACAACTGAAAAGAACACAGATTATTATTGGAACACAGTTTAATAACTGATCAGAGTGAAACATAGACTTTTTATTCCGGCAAAGATAGGTTCCTGTGGGATTTTAATAATCTAAGTATAGAATGTGAAATACCTCCATGGGTATATTTCTAGCAATTCCTGTCCCTATCAAAGGTTCTCAGGGACCTTTTGAACTCTAAAATACCTTTTTTTTGTGTCTGGGAAATGCTTTACGCATCCTTCAACCACTGGGGGAGCGAGAAGAAGGTATGTGGGACTCCTCCCTGTTCATTTCAGCCAGCTCTGTGGTCGGGTGAAATAAACAGGGCCCTACCTAACGCCCTGAACAGGGCCACTAAAAACCAGACAATACTCCTGCACCGTCACCCGACACGCACTATGAGGACCGCGGTCCCCCTAGTGAATGCCGAGAAGGCGGGTGTAGTCGCGGCTTCCGTTTCCGAATGGCCGCGCACCCGCCAGGTGTTTGTCCGCGAACGGACCCACCCCGATGAAGATGCCCCGGAGCATCAGGGGCATCAAAAGTGGCTAGAAAATTCTAAGAGTGCTTGTATAAAACTCATTCTTATGTGCACATTTCCCAATAATATAGACTAGACAAATGGTTATATTAGTTGTTTAACAAAGTGTTTGTCAAAACAAAATTAGCGTTTCAATGAATATTTAAAATAGATATAAATTGTTATAATCGTTCCCAATTCGCGTTGAAACTAAACTCTCACTGCTCTCATCCAGGCTTCTAAATACACCTTTATTTATTCCTAGAATCAATACACTTCTCGTGAATCATTTATACCTAAGCTAATTAGTAAATTCATGCCAAAACATCATTATTAAATTTACTTGATAGTCTTTTTGAAGAGAAATCTTTCTCCAGATAAATACTCAAGAAGAATCTTTAATACCTACTGAATTCTTTTGAAATGTACTTGTAAGGTTGGGAACTTTTGTGAAGTCATTAAAATATTCCGCTTGACTAATTGTAAGCATTTTCTTTTGTGTTTTTGTTAATTAAAAACTTCTTAACTTAAGTAATGTTAAACATTGAAGATTTAAATGAGGTAGGTATATATTGAAATAAGAATCGCCATTCATTATACGTTAAAAGTAACCTCGTGTTATTCGTGTATAAAGTCAAAAAAGAGATAGTTTATATGTAAGATAAGCTAATAAAATCTGCTTTTAGTGATCACGGAATCTGGAAAGAGTCCGATGCATGTTTATGAAATAAAAAAAATATATAATAAAACATGATTATTATATTGGAAAGCAAACAAAAACACAGTCCGCCTTATTAGGAGCGTTCATAGTGTGACCTATGGATGCCTACAAAACCAGGAGTATCACATGCGCGATGCAGACTCTTTGAGAATTTTTTGACGCCTGTTTTGAAGATTCCCATTCTGTATTCCTTTGGGAAAACCTCAGGAAGCTCATTTTGTAACTTAACCGCACGTGGGAGGAAATGCCTCTGAAAACGAGCAGAACGTGACTATCTTGATTTAATACCGGAATGAAAGGAGGTAGTAGTTTGATTATTAGCATTAAGCGAAGCTCTTTTTAACCTTACGTCTTAACCTTACGTCTTACAATGTTTGCAGACACTGCAAGAAGGAACGTGAAACACCAATACTCAAAACACTTCTATATGGATTCGGACCTCTAATTCACGAGCGAATTATTCTTCTGAGACTACATACGTACAATACGCCCAATGGAAGACAAATCTGTTAGAGCAGGAAATATTTAGAGCTTCTTAGAATCTATAGTGCTAACAGAGATACTTAAACTTGGTTGGCGAGTCACAATAGATATTTTAGCTAGGAATTGTTACAGTTCAATTGAGAACTACACAGCCCCAAAAACTACCTTCTTTAAAACCAAGCGGCAATTCTACCATGTTGCAAGCACGGCACTGTTGCAAATGCCATGATCACAGAGTTACAGACTAGAAAGAGTGCCTAAGTATTGGGGACTCACAAAAATCAAGTTAAATGGCAGCAATCCCACTAAGCGATCAGTGCGCCAGTTCTCGTGAACGCTATTGTCAGGTAATCGAATTCTTACCAGAGATATTCTTCCGGCCTGGTGTGTTGACAGCGACCCTGACCACTAGTTGTGTCCCACCACGTAGACCCAGCCTCAATATATTCATTATTTAAAGGGATACAAGGTCCAGATTGTTTTTGTTTTGTGTTAATATTATTATAATAATAACTTCTTTTATTTTTTATGTTAAGTGATTGTCGTACATCTCCGTCCGCTGATGTCCAAATTAGGTCCCTCCAGAATATCAGCGTTGCAGCGCCAATCCATTTTTGCCGTTGCAACGTTATGCTCAGGTGGGGCCTAGTTGACGATGTACCTTTTGTTTTATGTTTGATGTGTATTTATTGTAATTGTAATTGTTAATGTATGTCGTCAATAAATGTTTTTCTTTCTTCTTTCTTTCTATTATCAAATAAATCTTACCAGTGATATTCTTCCAGCCTAGTGTGTTGACAGCTACCCTGACCAGTAGTTGTGTCCCACCACGCGGGTCCAGCCTCAATCTTTCTATCATTTAAAGAGCGCCAGTTCTCGCGATCATTAGTGTCATGTAATCGAATCCTTACCAGTTATATTCTTCCGGCCTGGTGTGTTGACAGCTACCCTGACCACTAGTTGTGTCCCACCACCCGGTCCCAGCCACAATCTATCCATCATATAAAGGGCGCCAGTTCTAGCGAACACTATTATCAGGTACTAATCAAATAAATCTTACCAGTGATATTCTTCCGGCCTGGTGTGTTGACAGCTACCCTGACCACTATTTGTGTTCCACCACGTAGACCCAGCCTCAATCTATCCATCATATAAAGGGCGCCCGTTCTACCGAACGCTATATTCAGGTACTAATCAAATAAATCTTACCAGTGATATTCTTCCGGCCTGGTGTGTTCACAGCTACCCTGACCACTAGTTGTGTCCCACCACCCGGTCCTAGCCTCAATCTATCCATCATATAAAGGGCGCCAGTTCTAGCGAACACTATTATCAGGTACTAATCAAATAAATCTTACCAGTGATATTCTTCCGGCCTGGTGTGTTGACAGCTACCCTGACCACTAGTTGTGTCCCACCACGCGGTCCTAGCCTCAATCTCTCCGTCACATAAAGGGCGCCAGTGCTTGCGAATGCTGCGCCCGCGCTCAAAGCTAATAGAGCCGTCACCTATAAGTATAAAAAGGTTATACATTTTTGTTTGAAGTTATGGATCTATAAAGATTCGGCATCGCCACATACAACAATAAAAACTCATGTCCTGTTATAAAATAAAACAAAGCTCTCTGTCGCATCTGTCTGTCTTCATGATCGTGATGATGACAAAAAATAATGATCATAATTCCAAGCGATTTTCACTATCAGGTATATAAGTTTTTATGAAAGGTTTATATATTATACATGTCATGTCCGAGACCACAAACTAGAGTACCTACCTACCTATAGTCTAGTAGAATTACCTATATTCGAAACTATTAAAATACAGCGATTGCCAAGATTCGAGCAATAATGCCCAAAAATCCACGATTCTTGACAAAATAAGGTGAACATACAATCGATATTTATTAACTCTGAATTAATTGTATTGTAGATATTTATTGACCTACTTGGTCGTTAAATTTTACGATCAATAAAAAAAGGCTTATTCCTAAGCAACAACCTTATTTAGACCAGTTAATATAACATAATCCAAGTTTTATCTGAAAGACTGCCAGCCTACCACTATAGTCGCACGTGTGATAGCAATTTGTTTGCGATCCGATGCCCTCATCGAATGCCGATTAAGGATTCCCGGGTGATCCCGGCTATTCTAGCGCGAATCCCGGCAAATGGACCGATTAGGCAATCTATCCCGGTTTAAGCGGACCAAATTCTGGCGGTCGGTGCCAATAAACAAACTATATTTTCGTTGAATAAAAAGTTTGTTGTCGATTCCATATTGTTTCTGTAATGATGTTGAATACGTGCGGTAGGCTTGAACGAAGACAGGCATGTCTTATCAGGAGAAAAGAAGTTGCTCGGTCCTTGAATGGCTTACTGGAAACGCTTTGACAAAATTGTTTTAAAATGGCTTATATTGTTTGACCAATGAAAATATGGATTTCATCATAATCAGATGGACGTCCACTGCTGGTTTTGGGCCTCCTTTAGGGATTTCCAAACACAACGGTTGTTCTTTCCGCATTCAGTGGGTGCCCCCGATTCACTTGATGTCGTCAGTACACCTGGTTAGGGTTCTACCGATATACATGAAATTGTATCATATCTGCTACTCGGCGGAATGAGCAGAGTGGGCGAAACAGAATGAGGTGCAAAAAGATGTCAGTTAACAACTTTTAATTGGCTCCCATGAGATTGGTGTTGCTTTGTGTAGTTACTGTCGCCAGTTAAAGTTAGTTTTCATACAATGATGTCAGAATGTAGGCAACATTTTCCGACCGTGTTTTTATAATAACATTATCTGTACAAAAAAATTTGCACTAGTCCTTATTATGTGAACACTTTATTGCAGCGGGTATTATGGCGTATAGCGATGTTCAATGGAAAATACCTACAAACTTTTTTTTGGTTAGCATTTGCAAGAACTCTGTTTATTTAATGGATCCAATGCTTCGAAATATTTCAAGATCCTTTTAATATCATTTTATATACTACAACAATTTAAATAATTCTTTGATTAAAGAAATATTTCCTAGAAACGGATCAACGAAAGAAATATTAAATCCAGCTTGATGACTTGACTATCGAACTGGATTTAATAATTCTTAAGTTATTTAATTTTAAATTTTATTTATAAAGTTTATTTCTTCTGTTTTTTATTGAAAAATTCACAATTCTAATTCTCATTGAAAAAGGGCTGAAGATTAGTTCTGAGAAAGAAGAAACTATGTACTGTGGTATTGATCGACACGGTTGCGGTTCTTTACTATTCGTTTCATCAATCATTTTTATCAATAGCGATGTATTTTAAGTTCTCGGATGTGGAGCTCAATTAATAATTTAATTGAAAGTATTATAAAAACGCTAACGTCGTGAAAGCGCATAAAAATAGCGCTTGTGTGAATGACCTCCGAAGGTTCTTTTTAGTACAGTACAAAAAGGAAAGAAGAAATTGAATGTTAATAGTATTTAATTTACTTATAGACAAAGTTAAATTAACACCAAAATATAGGTAACTTCTATCCTATACATACCTAACAGGTACACCGCAGTACATAATGTACTACACAAATAAATGTTTATCATGCACGCGCTCCTAAATAAATACAATTATTTTCATATACATTTACGGACAGCGTGTTTTCGTAGTACTAACACCGTGTTTGCACGAGCCGACGTAAATAGCTTGTTTTATCTCTTTACTTAGTACCCCCTTGTGGCTTGGCTTTAGATTTCAAAATCGAGTTTATTTATTTTGCGCCAAAGAGCACTCCAACGTACCACGCTGGCATTTGTTTAAACCGCTTTCAGTTTAACATTTCTATTAAGCTTTAATTCCAAATTCAAATGTAGTTTATTCCGTTTTTCTAACGTTTGCATTCAGGTTAAACGTTTGATAGCACTATTAAAACTGATACTATCAAATTGTGAGTTTCATATGCAATAAAATTAAAATAACGGGTTTCTGTATTAGGGTACTTTTTGCAACCAATGCGTTTTTACTAATAAATGATCAGCCCCGTTGTTTGACATAGTTAAATGTGTCTATCAGTTTATGTCACGTCAAATAAATTGTAGAATGTGTCAAATGGTTATTTTTTCTATAGTATTTTAATATGATTATAATTTTTATTATTTTTAAAGCATGTAACTGCTTGATGTTTAAATCTAAAGAAAATATAACTAGAAAAAATTCCACGCGGACCAGGCAGCAGACGGGACTCGAACCCGCACCCTTCGCAATCCGGGCGAATGCACTGACCAATTTTTTCTAGTTATATTTTCTTTATTTTAATATGACTTAAGTCACATTTTACTGTGCATTCGAGTAAAACAATGCGACCTAAAACGTTACATTTATTTTCACTACGTGCCAAACAATTACATTAATAAAAGTAAAAATAAAGATTAGTTCAGCGGTTAAAATCAACAGACTTTCGTGTTTATAAACAACTAATGAAATGCCATCGACCGGGCTTATATTATATATAAATAATCTAAAATTATCAACTGATTCTGGAAACCGCTTCAAAATCTATTGCGTGGGATAAAAGGATTAAGCAGATAAACATAGAGACGCGAACAGCGACTTTACTTAATACGATGGAGAGATAATAATACCATGAATAAGTTCTATTGAACTTATAATATTTGGAGGAAGATTTTCCCATTAGGTCTTTTTACACTGGTGATCTGATACGATCCTACATAGTATAATTATTATCTACATATATACTTTCTTCTGAATTTAGTATCGAAAGATTCGACGTACAGGCGAAACTTAACGATTTGTCACATATTCGAATTGATGATAAATCTCTGCTATGACAATAAGGGCCGATTCCTACCGGGATGACAGCGGCCGACAGCTACAACGCGACGGGCACTGTTAGTGAGCGGCGAGCAGTTTCAATTTTAAGCTTTATGTAAGTATGTAGTACTTAAAATACCGGTATGGCTTGAAATTCTCGAAGAGTTTGCGCAGTCAGTAAGGGTGCTAAGGCTACTGGTGTTTTAAGTATGCAGATAAAGTTTAAAATTACGTCATTACTGAATGCGTCGCTGCCGGCCGCAACTATTCCGGTGTAACAATTTACACCTCACCGAAATACTTAGGGCCAATGCCCTAAGTATTCAAAATTCAAAATCTTTTAGAGTTGATTCACGTTGGAATGGCAGCGGTCGGCAGCGACGTGGCGAGCACTTTCACACTGAAAGAAAGCAGTGTGAAAAATTATAAAACTTTATCTACATATTTAAAAAACAGTATCGCTTGAAAAGCTCGGGGAAAACGCATGACTGGCCGCGCAGTCACGCAGTCGCGCGCGGTACCGACTGCTCGTGACACCGCGGGACGTTATCAAGCGATACTGGTTTTTTTTAAGTATGTCATCATCACCAGCCTATTAATGTCCTTACTGCTGGGGCACAGACCTTCCCTATGAATGGAATAGGGAGATTGGGCCATGTCCCACCAAGCGGGCCCAGTGCGGACTGTCGTTTAAGTATGTAGATAAAGTTTAAAATTTAAACTTCTCGTCGGCCGATCACTAAAAAATAAAGTTTAAAATTATTTTACACTGATTTTAGTGGGAATATGCTCGCCGCGTCGCTGCCGACCGCTGCCATTCCTATGTGAATCGGCTCTTACAATAATACTTGAATAAAAAAAAAACGCCATACTCACATCCATACAGTTGTTGATATTGTTTGTGATCTTCACGTCCACTTCGACGGTTTCTCCGACCTTCAGAGCAGGTGGTAACGCGAAGTCCAGCTGGATGGGTCTGAATACGTTGATGGTCCGTGGTGCTGAGAACCGGAGCCCACGATTGGACAATGAGAGAGCCCACAATGACCATCGTCCAGCTTCTGATGGCGCCGAAATGGTTACTCCATCCGTTGATAATTGGCTCCTGCGAGCAATAGCATACATGTATGTAAACATCCATAGAAGAGATAAAATTATATACCTAATACACATTTTAAATGGTATCATTTATCGAATGATAATTATTTCCGATACAGTATCTTGGTATTATATGCCTTTTAATGGTTTCGAATCACACTCAATATCAGGATTATTTCAATACACCTACATTCGCTGTTATATACGAAAGCTTAGGTATCTAGAAAAGTCGATATCGATCTTGGAATCAAATTTACTTCATTCAATAAATTCAGCTTTACTAATGCTGAAATATATCATCGCAAATATTTTATTTCTATGTTCGTTTATAAAGCGCTATCCAAAGTCTGACTACACCTTAAGTCAGTGCTAAGTAAGTAGGTATCTAACATAAATTGGAAATTGATTTCTCAGACAAATTCAAACCTCGCTTATACCGAAATACCCTTAAAATACCAAGGGTTTATATTATTTCCAAGCTCCTTGAAAGGAGTCTGTCCAAAGTTGGCATTACCATAAGTCAGTGCTCCGTAACATAAAGTTAGAGACCGTTTTATCTCTGTCACGGCGCCGGACGGCACTATCCGGTATTACTTTATCACGGTGTCCGGTTTGAGTTACGAATGCGTTATATCACGACCTGAAGGCCGGCAGTGCGACGTTTGATGTATGCGCAAATAATTTACATTATGGAAATGTTTTTAAAGAATTTTCAGTTGAACTTTCCGATCATAAGAACATACGCTTAAACGTTTTACACTGTTATACCAATGTTCAATGCTTGATACGTACTTGTAAAAGAATCTCATTTGACAATGTCGTACGTTATCGACGATATGATGAAATGATAAAATAAATTTTGGATACTAGAAGACCATCTACACGACTTTTAGTGTCGCCGCACATGGGCCACACGCCACAGCCACAAACACCACCACGAGAAGCTAGAAGCGGCTACTGAAGTGGCTGAAGCGCGAGACAGCGGCCGACTAAGGTAAGGGAGAGGGGGGTGGGGAATGGGGAATTGTGCGAGTGACGTGTGGCGGCGATTTGTATCGGCGCATTAAGCGGCCGGTGCGGGCCACAAGAAGCGAGCAACGACGATTTGTAGCGTTTGGCGGCCACCGGCGTACCGTGTGTGGCGAGTCCATATAAAATGTATAAAAACTACACGAAATATGCCGGTGGCGGCGTTTTGTGGTTGTGGTCGGTGGTCCGTGTGCGGCGACACTAACATCACAGGAAAAAGAGAGGCTGAAAACTAGCACGCACCAGGGCATACCTTGGCTCCGCTTACGCTGAGCCTCGTCCTCTTGCTTCCACTAAATGTTATTTTAAGATACATATGTACTTGTAATTTTGTTTTTCGTATGTGCAGTACGCTGTAATAAGTGTATCCTAATTTGGAGGCAATAAAATAGTTTATTATTAATATTTGTGGAGTGTTTTTCTTCTCAGCTCCTTGGCTGGTTTTGACGTGACAACGTCTTAAATTAGGTTGCGGCTGGGAGTCACTTATGAAAAAGTGTAACGCTCGGTAACGTTACGATGAGTCTCTCGTGTTAAGTTTAAGTTTACATGTACAATGTTTTAGTAAACAAAATATATTTCTATAGTTAAAATTTGTGCAATTCTTATTTTCATTCAATTCCTTGTTCCTATTGTGCAATTTAATTATATTCATATCAATAAATATTCTACCGAGAAAAAGACGTTGTCACGTAAAATCTTCGCCCGTAAAACCGACTTTACAGGCAACCATTTTTTACTACAATTACGGGCCGAAACCAGTAAGTGCAGCATGTGTTGTGTTATGTTATATTGTAGTGTTGTGATGAGAACCTATTTCGTTTTCATCTATTTGCAAGAACTTTCTGACAATGCGACATGTATTTAAAATTGCAGATTTTTGGAGGGTGATATAGAGGGTTTCTTTTAGGTTTATTAATTTAAGGCTATGGAGAAGGTGATTTGGAATGACGCCTGTTGTGGAGAGGACTATAGGGACCACATAAACTTTTTGTTGACGCCATATTCTAGTTACTTCATCTTTGAGTTCTGAGTATTTACTATTTTTTTTAAGATATTGTCTTCTGAATGTTATGTGTGTTGGGAACGGCTATATCTATTAGGTAAGTAACTTTATTTATTTTATCCTGTAAGGTTATATTATTTTACTCTATATATCATTTTTATTATTACCTACCTAGTAGTTAATTACTTTTGCGTGAAGAATTAAAACGAATGAAAAATATGAAATTATTTCATTAGATCTGGAGTTAAGTTGATTACTTCAAGTAAGATCTTAAAACTAAGTGTATTAGTGCAGGTCTGTGTTATTGACTGTCTGCTATGCTCAATGAGGGTGCAATAACCGTTTTCTCTTTTCGAATACAGATATTTTCTTACAGTGATTTGAACAATGTTTTACTGGAAAACGATGAAGAAAGGAACTTACACCACGATCGTACACCTTATCCTCTTTATTAATAAACGAAGAATAAGATTGGATTAGTTACTCTATGTTTTGTTTCTGTTCAATGAATTACCATTGGCACTCGAGTGACATGAAAAAAACGCGGTGTAGCTAGTATTAGCTTATTCCTCGTTTATTAATAAGGGGGTTTATGTTTTTTTTTATTGAAGAGGATTTTTTAATTTAAAATGTAATGAAAAATCTAATATAATAAACTTTTTTTCTTTAGTTGTTTTTTATTTCTAGTATTTTTTTAAAGATGTTTTTATCCAGACCGTCAGTACTTTATGGTGCAAGTACAGTGAATTTGAGAGACTATGGTAATCTCAGAATCTGGGACACAGAAACTCTCTACATTGGAACAAAATTAATATGATGTATTGTTAACTGTTGACTGTAGAGAATGGTGTAAGTGACCAATCCCTGCTGGACTCTCATGGTGGTTTTATAGCCTAATCTCCCTATTCCATCCGTAAAGAAGGCCCGTGCCCCATCTAGATACCTAATGTCCATTCCACCATCTTAATAACAGACGGAGGGAGGGTCTTCACCCCTATGCTGTTCCCTTCTATCACGCACGTCTAACACGTGGAACGGCAACGACTTCTCTGCGTTTGATTGCCCTCAACGTTATAGCTTCAGTCTTTAAAACAAGAGTAAATAGGGATTTGCTGTGTTTGTTGTTTGTTTGCTCCAACTTGGTCAGTACTTGTTACTTGTGATGGGCCCCCTTGAAGCACGTAGACTCTGAGATCGGTCCATTGTGCGTGTAGGGTTGTTGGGTTAGCACAGATATCCTTGTAGTCCTAGTGTCTATTCTAACTTTCTATCAGATGAAATTGGAGATTAACGCACAAACTTTCAAATTTTACCGCCCCCTACAACCCCCCCTACAACAACTAGCTGGATCCAAGGTTACAGGAGACACGACTAGTTGAGCCGACCCGCCTCAGCCTCGAGTGGCCTAGTGGCTCGAGACGGATAGCAGAATCCCCCGGTGGGTAGATGCCATCCGTCTAGAATACTACTAGAGACATTCGCCAATTCCCGGCTTCAAGTACTTTGGATTTCGCTATTCCTAAGCTTGGTGACGCTGTAAAGGTCATCGGCGATAAACAGCATACACACCAACGATATTAAATATCCTAGATACACCACGTGCGCTCAAAATGTGTCCCTATCAAGAAGTGCTTGAATGCCACTTAAGCACTTCTTAGTTCACAGTCACGCGCGGACCGTTGAAAAGTCAAGTTGCCGCAGAGCTCCGTGAAAAAATGCGGAAAAATGCTTTTAGTATATAAAGTCTCATTTTTTGGACAGGTATCTAATCAATGTTAGTTAATTTAACGCATTTGAAGCAATATTTGTTCTAATACTTACTATAAACTAATTTAATAATATTTGTGATATTCAAAGGCATGATCGGTTATATAGCCATCACTTTTCCTCGCGATCCGTAGCTGCTATATTGCTAACAGCGCATTCAGAATTGCGTGTATAGTCAAAGAAATAAGGTCTATATTCTTCCACATATAGCAATAAGTAAAATTTTAAGAGCTTGCATTTCGAACTGTCGTAACGCTTTGACGCATGCGTTTTAATTAAGACCTAATACGGTAATTATTAAAGGTGACTTTCAATGTTTAAATAATGCCTTATATTGTTTTTGACAACGCAGATCGTCCAATGTACCTTTTGGACAGGTTTCGGTCCCGATTTTGTTCGTGTTGGTGTATCTAGGGTATTTAATATCGTTGATACACACTCAAAATAAAGCTATCAAACAATCATTTGTCTGATGGTAATGCAAGACTTACGTATAATTGAAGCATTTCCACATCCACAGCCTGTCGTGAGAGGCGGGCGGGACGAGGTGCGCTGGCGTGCGAGGTGCGGGCGCAGTGCGCTGCCTGTACAACACTCCGCCGCCGCACGCACCGCCGCCTACGAAGAGCGATACACCGGCTGACACGAACTCTGGCACCGGTTGTTCCTCGTGCTCGGCAGGCCTGGGGTAAAATAAATTGTTTAAACCTGTTTCTGCTCCAGGGATCGGGTGCCCCATTCGCTAAGTGTTTGAGCAAGTAAAGTTAAAATTAGTTAATAGCTGAAACATCAAATTAATCTATAGTCTAGCCTACGAACAGCGATACACCGACCGACACGAACTCTGGCACTGGTTGTTCCTCGTGCTCAGCAGGCCTGGGGTAAAATAATTTGTTTTCAATCTGTTTCTGATCCAGGGATCGGGTGCCCCACTCGCTAAGTGTTTGAGCAAGTAAAGTTAAAATTAGTTAATAGCTGAAACATCAAATTAATCTATAGTCTAGCCTACGAACAGCGATACACCGGCCGACACGAACTCTGGCACTGGTTGTTCCTCGTGCTCGGCAGGCCTGGGGTAACATAAATTGTTGAAATCTGTTTCTGCTCCAGGGGCTGGGTGCCCCACTCGCTAAGTGTTTGAGCAAGTAAAGTTAAAATTAGTTAATAGCTGAAACATCAAATTAATCTATAGTCTAGCCTACGAACGGCGATACACCGGCCGACACGAACTCTGGCACTGGTTGTTCCTCGTGCTCAGCAGGCCTGGGGTAAAATAATTTGTTTTCAATCTGTTTCTGATCCAGGGATCGGGTGCCCCACTCGCTAAGTGTTTGAGCAAGTAAAGTTAAAATTAGTTAATAGCTGAAACATCAAATTAATCTATAGTCTAGCTTATAGTCTATACGTCTAGCCTATTCAGAAAAAAGTGTTTTAGTAAATCTAAAGAAAATGACCATATAATTTTCTATTTAAACACTTGATAAACTTTTTTGTGGCAAAACTATTCGTGATTGTCTGTAAAGTGAAGAATGCAAGAATCGATAATGCTCAATTGTCTCAGTACTTTCTAGTTAGAAATGATAAAAACGTGATATATATCGTTGGTTAAAAAAAAATTTATATGTATCGTGTCGCGGTGCTCATGCTTTGCTGGCCTTAAACTAATTCCTCTATTAAGTTGAGCTTTGACAATTAGAAACAAAACTACAAAAAAGTTTCATCATTATCAGCCTGCAGTCCCCACTGCAGGGGCACATACCTTTATGGTATAGGAAGACTAGGCCGTGACCCACCACGCGGGCCTGTGCGGATTGGAAGGTGATTTAGATTGCAGATGCAGCCGGGACTAATGGTTTAGCGTGTCGAGCTCGATATAAGTTCGGTCACCCATCCAAAGGCCGACCATTACGAAAGTTACTATTTTTTTACGATCCAATGCCGGCCGTCGAGCTCCTTAATAGTGTGAATAGTTTATTTCGAAGTAAATATTACCTCCCCAGCCATGAAATCTTCTTCAGTTCTGCCCTTAAACGTCAGTTCGAAGAATATGTATTTGGCAAAGATTACCAACTTTGCAAATGATAACTGGAAAGAATCCAAAATTTCTGCTACAATATTGAACAAAGCGACCACCGACCACTAAAGAAAGGCCTCACCCGAAAGCCACGTGACAATCAATCACCCGAAGTTATTGGAGTGACATAAAAAGTCACACAACGGACATTTCAACCGAACGTATCCAACTGTTAGACAGATGAAAGACCAGCAAATATTTCCAGTGAATTTCCTACGACAAACCGACCGTAAGATGAATCGCTCTCACAAACCGTGACATATCCTCTGCTATAACTAGAAAAGCGAAATATACGGACATTTTCCGCATTTTTGAACGACGCAGGACGGCGCCCCCGGCAAATTAATTTTCTAGTAAGTAATAAACCATTCGTTTTATTATAACATAAACATTTCCAAACTTGTCAACGATGAGTTAATATGAAAATCTGATTATTGTTATTAGTAAACAAGAATCTATAGTTATATTTTTTGATAAGAATTGACAAAACAACAAAATAAATTGTGAATTTGTTGTAATAACGTAAATTTCTAAAAAAGTTATAACAAAATCCTTTTTAATGCCCATGGCATCGTGACTCTTGAAAAGTAATAATACGAAATTAAACGTTTAAGTTGACAGATTTACCTTTTCAGCTCAACCTTTCCGTGAACGGAACGGAAACACCGTTCTGAGATGAATTGTTTGGCTATAATAGCATATTCACTTATAACGACACAAGTCTTGTATCGCCATTTCACTGACGTATTTAGGTTAAAACTCCATTAGCATAGTGCACAGTTATGTATAATTAATTTTTCAGATATGCGAATTCATTTATCTTAAATATCATGACACCTATGAATAATGAGAGAAACGAAACTAGAAAATAGGAAAATAATATTTCTTTACAGTAAAAGTAGCGCAGAAAAAGCTTTTCCCAAGGAAATATTTTCACTAAGAAACAAATTGGCCATCGTCTTAATTTAAAGCTGGACTTTCCTTGAGCGACATGCTTTTTTCTAAGAACAGTAATAAAAAAAAGACACTTCGGACGTCGTAACAACTTTGAAGAGAGCTCTCGACGAAGCTGATTGGCTGGAGCGGACTTCAGCTTGGGCTATTAGAAGTTCACTTATTTCGTTTTGCGAGAAGTTTAGTAGTAGTAGTTTATAAACAAGTAATTATTATTTACCTATACTTGTGATTAAAATAATAAAATATTCTATGGCATATTTTGATTTACTTCTGTAAGACACTTAAATAAGGTCAAAAACGATCTAAATCTCTGGTTGATCTCGACTCCTATCTGCAACTACTTTGAGTATGAAGGAAGCTAAACATTACCTGTACTGACCATAGCAAGAATATGGGAGATAATTTATTTATTCATCAATTTACCAAAGAAGAGATCATTGGTGTAATGGTTAGTGATTCAGTTTGCTATAGCAATAGTTAATCAAATTTTTGCAATGGCCAGTCATCGGATAGGTGACGAAATATTTATTATAAGCTTTAACGTGGCATCTCCAGTGGTCAAACCAAATTATCGGCACTATCCCTAAATGGTGTGTTATAACCCTTTCTCCTTTTTCAACATATGCATATAGTTTCAGGGTTTGGATTTCGTAAGCGGTTCTGTGGATATTTTTACTAGGTATCTACCTGCTACGGTTCATGAGATACAATCCGCTGACAGACGACGTATAATAATTGGGCTTCGTTATTACTATCTAGAAAGGAATTCTAAAGGAAATGTTTGAACAACTTTTACGTTTGGTGAGGATCCAAGTGAGCGTTAGGCGGGGTACGTGCTCCAATCAATCACATCGTGGAATCCGTTGGAGCCAAGACATGAAGCTGGAGAGTCGCATGAAGATACCACTACCGTCTCTCTTCTATATTATTTACGTTTCGTGAGGATCCAAGCGAGTGCCAGGCGGGGCGCGTGCTCCAATCAAGCACATCGTGGAATCCGTTGGAGCCAAGACGAGAAGCAAGAGAGTCGCATGAAGATACTGCAGCTAGAACGTCGCGCAATAATATCAACGGCCTCTCTCTTCTCTTAAACTTACGTCTGGTGAGGATTGTAGCGAGCGTCAGGAGGGGCGTGTGCTCCAATCAGGCATATGATGGAATCCGTTGGAGGCGAGACACGCAGCTGGAGAGTCGCGCAAAAATGTCACCACTTCAAGTCTTCTATAGAACTTACGTTTGGTGAGGATCGAAGCGAGCGTCAGGCGGGGCGCGTGCTCCAATCAAGCACATGGTGGAATCCGTTGGAGCCAAGACGCGAAGCTGGAGAGTCGCGCGAGGATACCACCATCGCCTCTCTTCTATAGCCACGACAACCTGGACGAGGACAAATACAAATATGATTATTTTTTATTAAAACGTTTTTGAATACAAACTTCTATTTAAACATTCTAAAAATAGTGCGGTGTGACATGACAGTAACTTAATAAAAGTATAATCTAGTATGATCAAAGTGTGATAATTATGTGATATAAAATTCAAAATTCAATATCATTTTATCAGTCTAGGCTGTTACAAGCACCTGTGAATGTCGAAACGCTACTACTGAGAAGCTAAGCTAAGTACTGAAAAGAACCGGCAAAACCGTCTGTATAGTATGACAGTTTTTTACTGGTTTTCGTACTTATATTCATCCATCCATCAATACCCATCCTATAGCGATCGAGTACTTTTTGCAAAAAAAAGATTGGCACCAACAGACAGTACATAAACATGCCCAGGTAGGTATCCAAAAAGCATTCCCACTCAATGTGATTAACGAATACAGCGGATACTTTAATTAATTCAATGTTTTACTCCAGATATTTAGTCTGTGTTAATTACTTTGGTTGAACATGATTGATTATGGCTGCCTATTGTGGTTCAATGACCGACAGGATCAACCTAATTAATACGTTCTAATCCCAAGATTTCATCACAAATACGATAACGGTTATTAATTACCAATTTATGCTACAAATGATTATATTGCAAACGTCGTACGATTATAAATGCTAAAGTCCGTTTGTAATGGAGAGTTAAGGATGGGTGACCGACGCAACTAGTAAACTGCTGAAATTATTGCTAATATCAGAGAACACTAGTCCATTCATACCGTACTTTCGACGTACACAGTAAAAACCTTACTACACCACTGTAAAGCAATGTACTTAAAATAATGTCTTCAAATAACATCTTTGGCAGAATCAAAAGAAGTAAATCGCCGCCCAGCAAACACTGCTCACTCCTCGATGATTCTCAATTCATCCTCTCATTTACAACCGCCGGTTCGAAATTACCGTGTGATTACCGCGTTTCCTAGCGTCAATCGTAACGCACTCGTATAAAAGCGCGGGCCACAGAGGTAGCGAATCGTAGTTCCATTTGCTTCGTGCACGTTCTTCCTTCTGCACCTTTTGACACTTGGGATCACTTTGTGAATGCCAGAGCTAAAATAAGAAGGCGATGAGAAATTGCGAACTTGCGAGGTAGCGATCTCAATTAACCTAACTGCGTGCAGCCCATCACTCATTAGAGGCAGTGTATCACGTTGTGCTCATGAATATCTACCTATATTGCATATTTTTGTTTCCAGTGTGATCCTTCTTAACTCTCATAGTTGAGTCGAATGAGCGGAATTTCAGCGAAAAGGGGAGTACTTCCATCAGTTAGGTGTCTAAGTCCGGGATCACTTGCCACTCTAATGGCTGTCCATTTCTACATCTTTGGAGCGTGTTCATTTAGTGGCTTTATGAATTTTATTTACCCCGATACTTTGAAACCTTTATTAAAGCTTCTGAAACAATTAGCAATAAGTCAACATTAAACATCTAGTGTCATAATAAAAAAAAATCATTATTTGGGTGTTATAATGTTTTTTTTTATTTCATAATAACACTCTTTCGTTTTTTAAATCCTTTCTGCGCCAAGGGCGTATTCATCAGACAGCCACAATTTTTGTGGTTTAATGGATTTCAAAAAAGAACATAGTCATGCACGCGCGTTCCACTAAAACAGCGCCGAAACCTTTCATGAATTTTAAGTTCTTAGAAGGCGTTCTGTATAAAAGCCCCATATTTTCAGAATCTTTTATAGAGGATTCATATCATAGGTGTAGATAAAGTCTCGTATGCAACTGTTACAATTAGGTGTTAAAACACTCAAGTGATAAGATAAACCTAAATTCGTGTTTTAATACTCCTTATTATACATCAGTTGGATTAATAACTATCATAAGCATGGTTCAGGTTACTTTATAACCATTGAAAACATTTCACGTCATTAAAATATTTACGGATTCATACAAGCGTATCGATACGATCAACGTTTCGCACTTTCTGTGGCCCGCGTTAAACAAGAGTATTGGGCCCGATTTTGGACGCGAAATCGCCGAAATTACAGACGTACTTAATTGCACCCTTTAGCTCCACGAATTGCCTTTCATTAGCCAGTCGCTGATTAAACCTGACCCCCCTTTCCTTCCACAGTAACTGGCTAAACAGCTGTTAAGGGTATCTTTCTTACGGTGCAAATTGTCAAGTATTCGAATCGAGCTCGGATTTGTCACACTTTTCTTGTTCGCTGTAATTGAGACGTTAATAAAAGTGCCAGAGTGATTTAATACCGATTTGATTAATTTTATAAAACTCTCGTTGAACGGGAATTATAATATACACTATACTGAAACTATTAATTTTAGTTATATTTTTTTGAATGAACAATATGACTGTAATTGCTATTTCTTCTCTTATACGAGTATGTTTAGTACTTGTAAAAGTATTCATTTGACATTGTGGGTTACCTACAATGCGAAGAGATGGCCCTGCCTTGCAGCCTAAGAAAGGCTAGAGAAAATTCGACACGGCCATCTGGGGCGCGGTAGCATAATGGTCAGTGCATTCGCCCGGATAGCTAAGGGTGAGGGTTCGAATCCCGTCTGATGACTGAACCGCGTGTATTTTTTTCTAGTAAAATTTTCTTTACTATTAATTTTTCTTGACGTTTCGGATCCTTTTTCATTTAATATAATATAATTATACCTATATTTAAAAATAATTTCAAGGAGTAAATTTTTGGCTATGTTTTTGCTCTTCTGTTAAATTGAATCTAGTAACTAGTTGGTTAACAAAACTATACCTTTTAAAAATCATAATCATTTATTTCGTATTAAATTACACGTCAATCATAAATTTTAGAATAGAAATACATAGAGTATTCACTATCCGGCCACGGACATAATATTAACAATTTGGATAAAGGGAACTTGTTTTTATGTTATTTTCCCTTAATGCTCTGATCCCAACTTACTGCGTAGTTAAGATGTGGTTAAGGCTCTTATGTGTTGCCAAAATCAGAAACACGTTAAGATACCTACTAAAACCACTTGAGCCCAAAACAACAAGGAAAGTTTGTTGTCTACGTTATCTTGACAGGGAAACGAACAGCTGTGGTAATATTGACATAAAATATTTATTCGCTTTGCAAATGCGATTACAATGTGGTGTTTGGATGGGTGACCAGGAAGCTCAAACGCCTCCATGCTTCGGTAGATAGTATAAGGTGCTGATTCAACTCACTCAACTGCGTCGGCAGTCAACAACTTTGTAAACTGTTGCAGACGTCGTTTCTCTCTACATATTTGTCACGAAAGCTGGTACTTGAATATTTTTCTTATGTTTAAAGGGTGACAAAGAAACATATGGTCTGTCTGATGGTAATCGGCCACCATAGCTTATAGAAGCTTGCGATACCAAAAACAACAGCCTCGCCGTTGCCCACCCCAACCTAATCCCCCACCCCGTGGAGTCCTTTTTTATTATTTTGTTTGTATGGGAAATGCATTACGCATCCTTCAACCACTGGGGGAGCGAGAAGAAGGTATGTGGGACTCCTCCCTGTCCTCTTCAGCCAGCCCTGGGGCTCGCTGAAGTGAACAGGGCCCTACCTACGCCCTGAACAGGGCCACTAAAACCCAGACAATAATCCTGCACCGTCACCCGACACGCACTAGAGGACCGCGGTCCCCCTAGTGCGTGCCAAGAGGGCGGGTGTGGTCGCGGAACCCGTCTCCGAATGGCCGCGCACCCGCCAGGTCCCCCCCCATGGAGTCCTGGAACCTTACTCTATGACAAAAGCACAACACCACAAAAGTAATTGTTATTTTACCGTCATCTTTTGTAAAGTGGACGTTACTTCCTCAGACGGGCGCTCCAATTTGAGCGGGAAATCCTACATCCATCTCATCATCCGTAGTAATGTTGTAGTAAGTATAACTATGACTATGAATCATAGTTATTCCAAATCTACACGAGTATCATCAAAATATTATATTGTAATAATATTTCTGTCTGACGATGCTAACAAGTCTCAACAAAACTGAAATTTTGCAAACGAAAGCAATTGAAGGATATTATTTTTAATTTAAGGTACAAATAAAGTAATAAATTGAATAGCTCCAATTATTAGGGTGACAATTAAGAAATCCGTTACGGTGACTGCCGGCCGGTTGCCTGAAAAGGTCGGAAATAGGACAGGAAGGGAGTGAATATAACATCCAATTAAAACGATAAAGATTTCAATAAGTCTCACTTTGGTTCAAAATGAATCGCTTATAGGTAAGGGTTAAAAACTACCAGTGAAAATGAGAGTCATTGTCATTAGCCTGTTAATGTCTCCATTGCTGTAGCTAGCGTGTTCGGTCTGCGATCGTAGAAGCTAAGCAACTTTCGCCATGGCCAGTCACAGGATGGGTTACCAAAAATGTGATATCTTGAATTCCTTCATGATTCGAAAGGCATGTAAAGCCGTAAGTCCCAGATGCACCTGCAATCGTTAGCACATACTGCCCTATTTACGTTAAAGGGGGGGAAAACAAGCGTATGGCCCCCACCTGGTGGTAAGCTGCCACCATAGCTTGTAGATGCTTGCGATACCAGAAATATCAATCACGCTGTTGCCTACCCTGATCCATTCCCTATCCCGTGAAACCTTGGTGTGACCTGCTTGGCAGATCTTGGCTAACCTCCCTATTCCATTAAGAGGGAAGACCTGTATCCCAGTTGGACATTGACTACTATAGGCTGATGACGATGATGAATTCTGTAGACGCAGAGTCACGACACAAAATTACATCCGAGTAATGAGAATGTTTATACGACGCCTATAATTACTGTTTTTAATTCAATCAACCGATACGTAGGTACTTATCGAAAATTCATAGGGTTGTTGTCGAGAGGACCTTCACTAAGTGGAAAATCAAATTAGGGAAAACGCCACACTGTCTTCCCCTTTGCTAAATAATTCTGCGGCCTCTAAGTGAGAATTCAAATATAAACTTAGATGGTTATATAAAGGCGTTCCGGGGCCGATTTTCAAAATCAACAGTATACTAATTAAGCTTTGTAAACGCTATTTCAATTTCACGCCAGCTGATTCATCAAGGAAATGTTAAATATACCTAAGCAGATAGGGTTTAGAATTCAGAGGTACTCAAAATGTTTCTGCTCGCTGTGCATTACATTTACCGCTGTGTAACCAACATACCTGAATTAAAGGAAAACAAATCAACTCTTTAGTAGCAGATCATAATGATTTGTGTTCAACCGTGCCCTAAAATATGGTATTGGGCCTGACAGGTGGACCCTGGATAACCCATTTTATTCTTGGGTCCATCCGTCAAGCCCAAACCCAATAGGCATAAAAGTAACTCAAGATTTTAGCACTAAAATGCTTGATTTTTATATTTTATATATAAAGATAAAAAAACTTTACGAGCGAAGTTCAGCCTGATCACCTAGGCAGAGTTGAATTTCTAGTAGTAAACATTTTGTATACGAAAAATATCATTATTTCTATTTACCAATTATACGTGAAGTATTTATTGCCATGCGTTTGGCACAAATAATATGGTAAAAGAAGACTTTATTTGACATGACAGAAAAAACCTAAATAACATTCTAACTTAACGTAATCGTAAAAAATCAGTTAATATGTGATTACATACAATTACAAATATATCACAAGCTTAATTTCCAGAGAAGAGTATACAGAAGCGAGACATAACGCCAACAGTACACAGTTTGGGAACCACAGATTCAGATGCAATTTTCACTGAGCCATGTGTTGTTACGAAGGCACGTATATAGGTTTTATAGTGGCAAACTGTGCAGTAGAGCTTTAGCGAGATTTCTGTAAAGCTTCCGTTCATTTTAGAAGCTCGAAGCATGAATTGAAATATAAAGAGTTTAGTTTGACGTAAATGATAAACAGAAGTATGGGTTTAACGAAATAATCAACTAGAAATTGTAACAACTGATATTAAATGTTTTAAACCTGCGTATTTCACATTTAAATAATTGAAATGTATGATATTTAATACTAATACCAAATACAATTATTGTTTTTGGTATTAGTATTTATTTACACCGACAACTTTTCAGTATTTCATTTATGGCGTTTATTTTTCACCGCATTACGAAGTGCTATGCATTTTTTTTTATGTTATAACCCCTATATGGCATACCAGCAGACGGCTCACCTGATGGTAAGTGATCACCGTCGCCCATGGACACTTGCATTATTAACACTTCGTATTACTTACAAAAATAGGTTTTGAATAGTTTTGAAAAGGAGTCAAAGCTTTTGATAATAACTAACTAGCTGTTTATCAGCATTCTTGTTTCTTTTTTATGGCAAAGATGAGACTGACCTAGCATATGGCTTGCATGATGTCTCCTATCTTATATCTACGAGTATGTACTGCTTGCGAACGGAGCATACTTCTAATATAAGTTTTATCAAGCTTCAAGGACTAGAGAATTGAAATTCAGGCCGACAAGATAAGGCTTGTGTGGAACATATCTGACCTCAAACGTAGTAAGTAAACGTAGGTAGTAGCAACAAAATTGCCGTGGAGAATTTAGGTGGACCTTCTAATAAAATATGATGTACAGTCGGTATAGTTTGATCTTGTCACTAGAAGCACACTAGTAGTACCTATGACGAGCGCGCAGTGATTTAGTGCGTTCAGTCTGCTATTGTAAAAGTTAAACAACTTTCGCAATGGTCGGTTATAAGATGGGTGACCAAATTTTTTTTTATCTTGAGCTTCTCCATGATACGGAAGGCACGTAAAGTCATTGGTCCCGGCTGTTTCTGTAGCCGTTAGCCCCAACAATCTACTGCTTCTAAGCGGTGGTCATGGCTCAATTTCCCTGTTCCATTAATAGGAAAGGCCTGTTACCCAACAGTTGGGACATTAATAGGCTGATAATGATGGTGACTAGAGAGTAATTTATTTATTTATTAATTTTTGGTAGACCAACAGCTGATAAAAACATAGTCGTACATAACAAAAAATTTGTTACAGATGGTCAATTACAGGTCTTCACGTTTAAAAGACAGAAATCTTCATACATACAAAAATAATAATAAACACGTGTGGACAATATAAAGGTTGGTCTACACTCTACATAGTAAAGACGATTCGCCCTCTAAACAATGTAAAACAATGTTCTTATATTAATCGCAAATTAATGTTATCATTTAGTTCTAAATTATCATTGTAAAGATACTATCACATCACTCGCTCAAAGAATTCACTGCATAGAAGACACCTTGCAGTTGCTCTACTAGAATTGAAAATATCAAAGTCTTTTCTAGACTTGCAAAATTCATTCAGTACAATGCTCGCTCGCAACAAGAATGCATTCTGTCGATAATTTGTGGAAACTAATGGTATACTAATTCGGATATAGTGCCTTTAATTAAATTACAATGAAATTATAGGTACAACGTTATTTTGGACTCACGTCTTTATGCAGTAGTCGAACATGAAAGCTGGCGACGTCACTCACAGGCTCACCGGCCTCAGTGACGTAGTACACGAGCAGTGAGCTCACCGGGGCCATGTCAGCTGTCACTGGGAACCTGTCAACAATCACCCGTCTATTAATAAGGACGTCCTCGTTACCGTATTCTTTATAATGCCGCAAATAGTATTCGGGTTCACGAATGACATTAGAATTTGGGCACCTGAAGCAATATGTACACTGGAATACAGGTTGGAAGACCTTTTCGGGTAAACAAAAGGAAATCTACCCGATTACTGGCATACTCGACTCCGTTCATTTACACTTAATCGTTTACCCGAATTCCATTGGCACACGTATTCGGGCTGATCAAGGGCTAATCACGCTAATAGTAACAATATTTTCAAGAGAGGTATGGCATAGCAGATTTAACGATGAAATTGGAGCGCCAGACTAGAGAAGTAACCTCCACCTTGCAAAGTCTTCTTCCTAGTCGTGCACTCTTGACAGAGTGGTCGTGGTCATGTCTTGGTCGATTCCTGTGCCACTGATGCAATCGCGATGCGGCGCCATGCAGTTCGATGTTTTGCAGAGAGAGAACAGTCATTTACGCTAGAGTACGTCGCCGATTTCATAAGGTCTGTCCACCTTGTCGGAGAGCGCCCGCGAGACCTTTTACCCTCAACTTTCCCTTGCACCATCAACCGTTCCATGGAGTTCTCATTGCGAGTAATATGCCCGAAGAATTTAATGATTCGTATTTGCACAGTCGACGATAATCTCTCTTTGATGTTGAATTCCCTCAGGATTGGAACGTTGGTACGGTGCGCGGTCCAAGGAATTCGTAGCAAACGCCTCCAACACCACATTTCCAGAGCGTCAACCTTGCGACGGTCTTTCGTTTTGAGTGTTCACGCCTCAGCTCCATATAGAAAGATTGAAAAACCAAGGATCTCATTAGTCGAACCTTTGTGTTTTTGGTTATCCTACGGTCTCTCCAAATCTTTTTGAGTTTTTCCACTGATGATCTGGTCATGGCGCATAGTCCTTGCAAAGTATCACAGTCAAATAACATTACCTTTTGGTTGAGTTGTGTTTCCATCGATAAGTAGGCTTCCAGGAGGCCAATCGCCTAACTAGATTGCTTAGGAAAACGCTATCGCTTACGATTTTATTTTGTTATTTCTAGCCGCCTGAGGTGTTCAAATGCCTCGCGCTCTTTCTTTTTCTTTTGCATTGGTAATAACAATATTAAAAAAAATGAACGTGAGGTATTCGAAAACCTGAGGCGGCTAGAAATAACAATATAAAATTGTAAGCGTTAACGTTTTCCAAAGCATTTCCGTTAGGCGATTGGCCCCCTGGGCTCCATTAGGTAGGATCAGAGTAGGCAATGGCGCATTTTCTACTCTAGTATCACATGCATTTAAAGGCTTTGACGGCCGCTTACCATCAGTCCTTGTTTGTGTTGTCCATGTTTTCCATCCTTTTTACGCAAAAAATAGATACCACCTAAGGACTGGTTGCTTAGCAGTTAAACTTTGATAAGCTTTTCTTTTAATGATCAAAGTTGTTCCTGGTAATAGTAGGTAGCTACTGGACAACCATTTTGCATCGTTCTCTCTTCTTTAATAAATCTCTGTAATTTGTGGTGACAACGACCTGTTGTTTGTTGGTGCCTGTGCATTCAATTTCAAGATTTTCAGTTTATTTTGAAAGTTATTCAACCGATGCAATATTATTATTACTGTTTTCACTGTTGTGGATTGGTGCGCGATAGATTGTTACACGAGAAAAACGAGTCACAATCTATCACGATAGGCTAGTGCTAACAAATGTATGTGCAACTGAGACCCACAGCTACTGGTGACATGTGAAGCACAAAGAAACTCAAGATTTGCTTATGGTGATTATGGGCAGATGTCTGGTTATAACAAAAGTTTATTAGTTACCACAAATGTAGAATCAACGCGTTATCTACTATCTCATGTTCCAACTTCAAATGTTCTTGTGCATAGAGTAACATTTTGGCGAGTCAAGACGCTCCAATTGGCCTGCATGCATGCTGTTAAGATCTGCTTATATATAATACCTTCTAGCTAATCTATTTAGATTGAAGGAATGTAAGTTTGTAATAGTTTGCAGTTCTTCATTACTGGCTTTGACCCGCATAACATCATCGGGAAAGGGTTGTGACTGAAAACAAGCACGGATCAGGGTCTAGCTTGGCTCCGCTTATGCCTAAGCATAACATTTAATATACGAAAATGATGAAACAACAAATGATATTTTAAGATACGAACTTGTATTTTTTTGTGATCATAGTTTGAAGGCAATAAATCATTTTATTATTATTATCATTATCATTGAGGAATATGTTTAATAATGAACAAAAAATTGCTTAGTTACGAGTACATTGGTCTCCAAAAGTTAGTAGGTACTCGCTTCTTTAAAATTTTCAACATCAACGATCAACTTATTTTTCAATATTATGAGAGACAGCAAATATTTTTATATTTGCTGTCTCTCGTAATATAGAACAAAAAAGTTGGAAAGTTGCGATCACTTCCATCACATCCATGAAGAGTCTGGTATATCATTCAAACGTCAATACAACAAAAGCCACCGATGAAACGACTGTTCCCACTCGACGATAAATTTAATTTCCCGAATAGTCGCCACTCCCGAAATTTGTACCTCGCTTAATGAACACCACTTGTATATCCGACACTGTGCAATGACTGGACTCGTTAAACATTTAATAACATGTAATTTATTATTGGATACAGATGGGCTTTAATGGAATAGGCGACATTCCTCAGCAGTATATTGACCCGTGAAGCGAATAGCAGCCTCGTGAATTTGGGGACTGCCAATATATACCGTGTAATTTTTTTATGTTAAAGGGGTGACAAACAAGCGCATGGCCCGCCTGATGGCAAGGGGTTACGATAGCCTATAGACGCTTGCGATACAAAAATACAATCGCGTCGTGGCCTACCCTGACCAAATCCCCTACTGCAGGAAAGAATGGAACAAGTACTAGGAGAAAGACTGCTGAAGTCCTCTCCTGGAACAACGGAGAGAGTGCGAGTGGATGGCGAGGGTAGCCACAAGGCCAAAACAAATGGATGTAGCAAAATTGATATTATGAAACCCCATTTGCGGAGGCAAACCGGGCTCCGGAGGCGACCACTGAAACTCAGGAAGTAGAAGGTGACCAGGAGGAGACTTCAGGAGCAAACATAGCAAAAGATTAATGAAAAGCCAGAGTAATAGAAATAAAGATATATAAAGAAGGTAAAATAGGTCTAAACTGGTGTTATTAAAAGCAAGCTAAATAGTTATAAGACAATGCAGTAAAATAAGAGAATAAATATGTATAGATAGAATAAATATTATGTAAATACTAAAAAATGATGCCAAAATGTAAATGACAAAAGTAATGTAATAGAACATAAGTAAAGCATATAGTATAAGTAGAAATAAAAAACAATTGTAAAGTTTGGCTTATAGGAAAAAAAGAGGAAACTAATTCTTATAGAATAAGAAAGAGCAGAGACTGTAAATATAAGATAAAAAATAATATTAAAAGAACCAAACCTAATAGATATTAAGAACAGTTAAATATAAAAATTTAAAAAGAATATAAAAGAGAAAAGAAAAGCTCGCACAAAAAAATAAGACAAAGAGAAAAGAAAAACTCTAAAAAATAGAAATACAAAAACAAAAAAAAAAGAAAGAGTCCTGCAACTTAGTGGGGAAGCCGGATTCTACTAAAAAAAACCCTACTCCGTGGAGCCCTGGAACCTTACTCACTAATAGAAACAGATCACCACCAAAAGGTAGTCTTAATTTTACTGTGGTCTTCTTAAAGGTAGAGGTTACTTCCCGCGATGGACGCTCCAATTCGAGCAGAAGATCAGCTATGCCCTACCACTCTTAAAAATGTTATGATTAACTAACCCTAGTTCAAAAATACTTTATTTCTATAACCAATATTAGCTAGTGATACAATATTTGAGAACCCCTACTAGACAAGTTTAAGTTGTTTCATCTGAAGTTAATTATTGAATATATATTATCTTCCTTAGACTTTTCTAAAATGCAATTGATCTTTTATAAAAACAAGACCCAAAGAAATATATATAAATTACAATGCCCATTTTTGACCTGATCATGTATAAAGACTTCAAAATAAAACTAATTTAATTATAAGTTTACTATAATATTCAACGTGGTAAAAGAAACGCAGTTTTTTTTTATTTCAATATGTTTATGGTACGTGTAAATTACAGTTTCCGAACGCACTTCGACTGTCCAGTGTTTGCTACGTTCCATTTTACACACTGCCACTTCGCCACTTGCCAAGAATATTTGTTTAACCTTGTTTTTTATGGGTTTCAAATACTTTTACACTTTATTTTATTTGTATGTTTTTCTATATTAAACTCTTACTACAGAATATATTAAATTAATATTATTATCATTTCACAAATTCGTCCTGCTGTACAATTGAACGCTTTGTAAAACGGATTTCTTTGACAGATGACAGGTGTTTGACAACCCGCCCTGCACAGAGTTTGATAATTAGAATGTTTTGGTATTTTGTTTAATAATAAATTAAATAATGTAGGATTGCTGTAAGAGGAGTAAGCATCTAATAGTCTGTGGTTTACATACAATCCGCTTGATGTTGCTCAAAATAAATTTCTTATTTCACTCTTGGGACAAAATAATCTTCAGAATAAAATTGTTGTTTGGTTATTCATATCCGTTTGGCAGGTAAGAACGAGGTAAGAACGCTGTCTATCCAATTTACTTGTAACCATAAAGTAATCACTTAACAAATAAATGCACTGCATTTTGTCATTTAACTTGGTCGAAATATCTTTTTATGTAATTTGTTGACCTATTTATGTAATTTGTCGTGAATAAATTAACAAAATAAATTGCATATAATGCAAAAGAACATCTGAACCTTCAGTGTTGTCAGAGCAAAAAATAAATATAATCTAAAAAAATAATTCAATTTTTTTAATTTTCCTCCATTTAAATCGTAAAAATAATTATGGGATATTATTTTCTTAATTTATACGTAATCTTTCCAGTATACTTTATATTTATACATTAACTTTCATTATCAGGTTTTCAAATGTATGGAAAGTGCGCATTGTTATACCGACAATTATGGCTGCGTGGCTAAAATGTGGAGATTTAATTCGGGAATAATTTGCAGTTAGGGTAAAATATGAAAATAAAATATGTTAATACAATTATTATTTAAAATATTTTAACTAATAAAAGAGAAATCCTTAAGGTCAACTTGTTTGGTGAATTTAAATTTCCATTTCACAATGGATATCCAACGAAACTATTCAATACGCGATACTGCTCCTGTATGGGACAGGAGCCTTTTTTTACCTTACAGTACTAAATAAGGAAAGGTAATATTGGTTGTTTTACCATAATCAGATGAAAAACTGTCGGAATATTCGTGGCGGCAGCGATATGATGTATCGGCCCCTTGGGTCACAGACTTTCCGCAATTTCGTGAGTTATACCCGTTTTATTAAAGAGCGAATGCGTCGTTTCGAAGTAGCACGTGTTTTATATGACCTCGTTCAAGTGCCACTTATCGAATTCATATGGAAATCCTCATATGACTAAAAGAAATTTTGAATATATTTGATCTAGTCTGTTGAAGTACACCTTAGAAAATATGTAAGGTATAGATCATTTATTGTAAGAAAATATAGGAAAAACGCAACCTTTGACGATAGTTTAGAGGATACTCTCGGTAAACATTTCTTTTTTTTTAAAGCTTGTAGAGAAGCTTTGTACACCATCAATTTACTTTTTAATTTGTTAATTTTTTATATATGTTTAATGCACTCGATCTTTGCTTATACCTACTAAGGCAATATTGTTCTCATCAAACTCGTTAAAATAATAATCCCTGTTTTCCAATTAAAAGAGACAAGACCCGTGTGAGTCCGAAAAGAAAAACTGCATAACTGGCAGTTTTCACCATCGATTTCCTTAAAAAAATATTCTGTAGTGAGCGAGATTAATTACCAACCAACTAGTGTACTAGTTGATGATGCAACAAAATAGGAGTACGGGGGGTGTAGTTTCTGACAATACCAAGCTTATTTTTGTTGGATACACCGAGCCAATTAATAAACGGTTCGTCGATCCAGTATACATTTACAAAGGGACACATAAAAAGCCTAGTCTGATGGAATTGGTGCGGTGTCGGTGCGGCCCCGGTGGCTCATTCATCAAAACCGCCATAATCTTGTTCCGGCCCCGACATAGACACATTGAACGATATTTTTTATTCATTCGTTTGTATTTTTTACTTACTTTTTCATTTTATTTTATTCATGAAAACATGATTCGGCGAATCGAAGTTCTATTTCAGATCTTGTTTGCCGGCGTACTTGTGAATATATTTATTTAGTACACTTTTTTATCTTCAGCTAATTAAAAAGAGATTTGGAACAGAACTGGGTCAACACCTTCATCAATTGTTTTAAGAACCGACCAAGAGAGGCATTCCCCTAACTTAAATACTTCACGACCCCAACAGCCTCGGACTGGAAAATAAATGGATCAGTATTTAAATACCCCGCCCGGACAATTCCCAAAATGCATATAAATCACGAAGCATAAACTTCGCAGGCTTTTTTATTATTCTTCCTTGAGCGGGACACAAAACTCGGACACACTCCCACCGAATCGCTAAAGGGAAGTTCCTTTAACTTAATTACGCCTGGTGCAAACACTGTGTTGGTTTGAAGGAAAACGCGCCTTGCGTTGGCGTTTCGCGAGGGAACATTAAAACGGCTTTTAGGGGAAATTAAAAAAGAAAAAACAAACCGTCGGAGGCGCAATCTTAAAGATCGCGAGATTGCAGAGTGACGAATTGTAGAAGTTAATGATGCTTGGGACAATAAAATTCACAGCGTCTTTTAACTCTTCCAGCGATGATTTATTTAAGTCTATTCTTTTCCTTTATTACTTCGAAAAGGATCGCAAATTTGTAGTGCCTACTATTTGAGTGCGTTGTACGCCGGGTTTCATGGTGTTGCCAACTCGAGAAGTCCCGGGTTCGACTCCCGGTGGGGGTTGATGTTTGACTTTGAGTGATGTGTATGAACATTTGTATTCTAGTCATGGGTGTTTTATATATATATATATATACTTATATATGTATTAGTATATGTATTCTATCCGTTACCCTAGTATCCGATAACACATACCTACAGTGCTTACTTCGGGGCTAGACTAATTGGTGTGAGTGTTGGAAATATTTATTAATTTATTTAACTTTCTAATGAACGGCCACCATTATTACCCAATCTTTTGTCGACTTTCGGTAGTGCAGGTCATCAAACATTTGATTTTGTAAAATAGTATAAATTAATACTTTAACCGATGGTACAGTAAAACACAAAAATAATAATTAAACACATTTTCGTTCTTTCATCATACAGGAATACTAATATAGTATATACTAATATAGGAATACAGGAATAATATTGCTTATTAATTTTGCTAAAATTCGTTTGGAAACATGGAAATTTCGCGAGACAATTATCGAAAACCTAGTTCGAAAGCAAATATTTTATCCAGCAAGTTTGTGCATTTCAGCAGTCAAACGAAGGGGTGAAAAAGTTTGGACCGGATAATTGATGGACGTCGAATCCAATGCTTGCAAGGGGGGTGATTATGCTGATTCTGTTAATTCACTCAGAGTTTAATGAGCTGCTGTCGCGGTTGTTTGGTGGAAATATTGTGCGAAGGCTATTATCTGCAGTCGAAAGTAATCCCTTTAAGCAAATAAATCAAACTCTGTCTACATACGCACGCTTTTAATGCGTTCAGGTTTATCGAAATAATGAAGTACGTATTGAAAACTTTGTTTATACAAGTCAAAACGACTTTGTCCGCGTTAACTTTAGTTTATTGAAGATTCCTCGGGTACCAACACTTTTCGAGATAAAAAGTATCCTATGTCTCAATCCAGGCCTGTAACTATATGCGTACCAAATTTCATCCAAATCCGTTCAGTAGTTTAAATGTAAAGAAATTTTACTAAGGATTTTTTCAGTAGTTTTTTGCGTGATTGAGTAACAAACCCACAAACATTAAACATTCAAGTAGGATTCATTAGCATCAAGCCGAGTTTTTTTTTAAGTTAAAAGTGTGGTAAATAAACTTATGGCCCGCTTGATACTAAGAGGTCACCTCAGACTATAAACGCCACCTCAGCCTATAAACGCCACCTCAGCCTATAAACGCCACCTCAGCCTATAAACACCACCTCAGCCTATAGACGCTTGCAATTCCAGAAATATAACTCACACCGTTGCCTACCCTGACCCAATCCCCTACCCCGTGGAGCCCTGGAACCTAACTCACTGACAGAAACGCAACATAACCATAAGGTATTGCTATTATAATATGATATTCTGTAAGGTGGAGGGTACTTCCCCAGTCGGGCTCTCCAATGCGAGCGGTAAATCCGCTTTGCTCTACCTATCTTATCGTCTCTCGACTTTATTAATTATGGTAATGAGTATTTGAAAGTGCTTATAATGTTTGTATTTGATACTAGTTAATCTTTTGAACACATTTTGATTGAAAAGGGCGTATCTACAGTTATTTTTCAATCCTCTCACATAGACGGCGTTAAGTTGGTTATTATAAGATATTTCTCCTTTTTTTCGTTCCGCAAATCTCCTGTTATAGCTTGAATTTTGGTAAAACTAGCTAAGACAATTACCTTCATCTTAATCATGAGATTATACTCTAAAAATAACGATGTACATATTTGTAATGGCAGCATGTTAATACAATTTTAGTTAACCCATAGGGCTATTCTTTAGATTGAATACATAGGCTGATACATATATAAGTATAGTTATTTAGAAAAACATATAAACAATCATGTCTTAGGTACAAATTGCTCGTAGGTATTCATTTATAAATATTTGCCCCCCCGGGATTCGAACCCGGGACCTCTGAGTATGGATTGATATGAGACTAGGATTGCCGTTGTATTGGTTTAGTTCCGACTGCATGTGCGTGCGTCCAGTCGTCAGTACTTACAAATCCGCACTGAAGCCGCGTGATGGGGAATATCATATATTTTTCTGTAAATATGTCCCTAAGGAAGTCCTAAGCCCCAGCACTCGGGATATAAGCTAATTATGATGAACTAGCGGCCGCCCGCAACGTCATCCGCATTAACTTTTGAACCCCAATTTTACCCCTTTAGGGAGTGAGTTTTGGGAAATCCTTTCTTAGCGCACGCCTACATCATAATAGCTATATGTGTGCCAAATTTCAGCGCAACTCGTTCAGTGGTTTGAGCTGTATATTGATAGATCAGTCAGTAACTCACGTGTAATTAAAACGGCATAGGTCGCTGTCGTTGGCTGGTACAGGGGCAGGGACAGCAGCCCAGTGTACAGCACGCCCGCCGCTTGTGACTGCTGCCAGCAACCGCTGCCGGCAACCGCAGGAGGACCAGACGCTTGCACTGGCGATGCCACCGGCCTGAGAATAAAGTACCACTTACTTTAAGTATTCTCAATACGTTGGCTCTTCTTCGAATAACTAAGGGTGAGGCCAAACGAGCGTAATTTTGTGAGTGGTGAGTCGCAGAATTTCGGTTGCAGAAATTCTGCTGCATTCGGTTTCATACAAAAAGGCAGTTGGTGCCACACGACAACGCAAAATGAGTTGTCGGCCGACTCAATGCGCATAAGCTCGTCCGAATTTCGGTCGGGGTGAGGGTAGGGCAAGGAAGGGGAGTGGGGAAGCAACAGTTTGTTACAAGTTGCGTGGTGTAATAATTCTTGAAAAACACGTAATAGCATATGATAGTACTTTTCAAACATATCTGGATTTGCACATAAACGTTCATATAAAGTATGGAACTGTCCACATATCAGCCTCTGACTATTCAGTGGGTATACCCAGTTTCTTTTTCTGGCCTCATCTTCTGAATATGCTTCGTAAATACACAATATTTTTAATAGATCCATTGCACTCGACGACACGAACACCCCGTACTTACGCTCAATAGTAACTGAATAAATTACGTTCGTATGGCAGCTCAACAGAAATTCAGTTGAACGTAAAATAAGTGACTCACAACTCACAAAATTACGCTCGTTTGGCTTCACCCTAAGACGTTGAAGAGTTTTACGAAAGACAGAACACAAAGAACCCTCCATCTCACATAAGACAGGCAGATTTCCCATGAATACTAGCGATTACTAACAGCAGTCATCAGTGGCTTCCATACAGTTCACTGGTGACTGCTGCCAACAACCACTGCCGGCAACCGGAGGAGGACCAAACGCTCGCACTGGCGATGCCTCCGGCCTGAGAATAGAATTACTACTTGCTTAAGACGTTCTTAATTCTTTGACTGTTCGTCGAAGGATCAAAATAATGAAGACTAATGGTGTAAAGAGTTTTGTGAAAGACAGTACACAAATAACCCTCCATATCACGTAAGACAGGCAGAGTTCCCATGAATACCAGCAATTGCTAACAGCAGTCATCAGTGACATGCGTGTAGTCCACTGGTGACTGTTGCCGGCAACCACAGAAGGACCAAACGTTCGCGCTGGCGATGCCACCGGTCTGAGAATAGAAATACTACTTCCTTTAAACGTTCTTAATCTTTTGACTGTTCGACGACCGATTTTATCGATTTTTTCAAAATAACCAAGACAAATTCTATAGAGTTTTGTTAAAGACATCGAACTTAAAAAAACCCCATCTCAAATTATAAGACAGCAACTTTATATTTTAGCTCTTTTTATTACCTAACAACGAATAAAACATCCATGATAAATTTTTAACTATTTTCGGATTCCATTATCATATCTTAGATATCCTGGACTGGATCTGGACTCAGATGAAATCCTTAAGAGATAATAGTTTATTATCAAAAAATGTTACCTGTAATGGTGTAGGCAAGTTCTCCACGAGTAGGTAGCACTTGGACGTAGAGTTCCATCGTCGTAGGCTCTCTCTTGCTAGCACGTAGTGGGTCTCTATCTCTTTTCCTTCCACGGCAACCAACTCGGCCTGGAAAGAAAATTTCGATTTAACTCATAATCCAAACGCCACGCAGTTCTATCTAACACTATCCCGATTAGGAATAGCTGCGAGTATTCTTATATGATCTACCTCATCTTAACATGTGGTTAATTCAACCATAACTATAGGATAAGATAAATAGCATAGATAAATGATTGGTCTCGCTTCACTCGACTAGATACCGCGCTGTCAAAAAACAACAGCTCCATAAATGCGGCAACTCATTATTGTAGTGTGTGCAAACTTGTGTATGTCAATTTGCAATGAAGCTATCAAATGTCATAAATCGTGTTGCCAGCTGCTCAACTGCTACCCAAGTAATAGGGAAAATATTGTAGGTTACAATTTATATGGTACCAGGTTATAAATGTAGCTAATTCAATACTTGAAGAAGATTTACTTAATTAAATGAGAATATATCAATATTTTAGTGTACTTATACAATTAGGCGTAGGTTTCTTCTTTATAAATGCTTAGGCCTCAATTTATTTTTACATGTAATATTTACTAGTACATTATAACAGTGATTCAAATGTGATAAGTTGGTCACTATAATTGAGACATTATTGTAACTCGGTAAGGAAGCTAAGCGTGTAATGCCAATACACACGAGCTGCTTACGACGTTTTTCAAAACAATAGCGACGAAAAAACAAACTTGTAGTTAGTAACTGTTCAACTGACCTTTGCAGCTTTGTTGCCAAGTACTCTTATTTTGACATTACGCAGACCTTCAAAAACATAGGTTCAATAATAAAAAACTCTAACAATAAATTCACATTATAAATAAAAATCTCAACCATAGAGGGACTTGATTCTTGTATACGCGGCAACACCTGAATGACGTTTAGGGTTCATGTTATTTTATGTTGAAATTTCGAATTTTTACTATACTTATTGATGTTATGTGATCCCAGCGTCCTTGTTATTTATTGATGTATTATTTCACTACTTAAACTGGCATTTTACTTTCGATTAACACCAAATTTTAATAAAACATTCACTACGTACACCCCATACACAACTGTCATGTTGACTGACTCGGTAAAAGCTCGGGTATGCCGATTTCGGCATAGTATTTGTTGCCGCATTAGACAAGTACGCCGGCGGTATCTAGTCGAGTGAAGCGAGACCAATCATTCATCTATGATAAATAGAATTTAGTTATTTTACTTGATTTTCAGTGCGGCATCGGACCGTATTTAACATTTCTAATAACAAGCTAATTGAATTTTAATATAGAAAGTGTTAGAGCTCTAGTCCTTTAATGGGCCATCTAGGAACAAGGATAAAAACAGATTGATGAATGCTAGTAACCATAGACTGCAACTACCCAGGCCAAATTACTTCGTCTTTTTTAACACTCGCCCACAATCTGACTATTTAAATTCTTCTCAATCGCAGTCCGCTGTGCTTACGTACTACTTGTGTCCTTTATATATCAAAAAAGATCTCAACATTAATCTTATTTACAGACAGATGTGAAATGCAAGATAAATCAGGGAGCGAATAAGCTTTTTCACGTTACACTTACGAAAAAAGCCAAGGAGGTGGCTCTCCTTTCCCTTTGGAAGTTGAATGTGACGTTAAGCCGTCATTATCCGTAACCCTCGGAAAAAAGAAAAGTTTTATGTTACATTGTGTCTAAGCATTACTTCGACAAATGTAGCTCTCTCAATACTGGAGTATAAATAAATATCACAAGTCCAGTAAGTACGGTATACTTGAATAGGTATTACCCACTTAGACTGATTCGTGCCTTGTAGATGGTTCCCTCCTTTGTGTCCTGTGATATTGAATTTTATTTGCAATTTTTTTCTTCTATCCATATTTACTCAGAATAAGTTAGTTTTATTTTTGTGTTTTGTCTACAGAATAAAAGATGTCTAAGGCCCGTATTACAGAATGACAACTAAGTGTTGATCTTTACTTGAGTACAGTTAGAAAGGGATATCGCTATGTGCTATATATAGCGACATCCCTTTCTAACTATGCTCAAGACTAGATCAATCACTGAAAATCTTTCTATAATACGGGCCTAAATGTCTTCGCCCTTTGGATTTGGCGAAGTACTTATTGCAAACTGGAAGATTTTTCAGAACAAGCAAACCTTATGTTGTTTATGTTTAATGTATTTATAAGCAATATCCTTCATCCCACTTTTACGTCAAATATTTAATGAAAGCATTATTATGCTCCACTGGTTTTACAGTATCCGCTAAATTAGTAACGGAAGAACATAAATGAAAACGCTCTTTTTACGTCGTTACGTTCCATTGTAGCTTTCATTTAATATATGAACCACTAGGTATATAGAGAAACGGAAGCAAAGAAGAAGAGATACTACTAGTCATGTTTTAAATATTCATTATGATAAGTCACTTGAAAACTGTTTGCATTAGGAGGTAAAATCTTAATTTAGAGCTCCGATTCTGTACATTAAAATACGTAGATTTAAATAATTCTATGTTGAAAAAGGGAAATTCCGCTTCGTACGTACATTTTAATTGAGACTCCGCGCAAAATCCTACATGTTGAAGGGTATGAAAATAAAAAAAACAACTTTATTACATTTTCAACGCGAAAATGATGAACATGTTATTTTACGTTTTATTTACACTCCTTGCTCGAGCGTAACATTATAAACAACAAACGGTTAGCGAGACCGAACACGGATGGTTTCAATACTCTTTTTTCTTATTCTTTTTTTTATCGAAGCCAAATATTTTCCTAGAAATTTCCAGTTCACTGGCTACAATTATTGAATACGAGGAGATTTGGAACTAAGTTTATGTGAACATTTTAGGTAAAGAGCGTCGTGCAAATTAGTTTGGTTATTAGAGTTGTATAGCCAAATGGTGACTATACAACGGAAACATATTACTAGTTTGTAAGCAAGTTTTATCTCGTGAAGAGCAATTAAGTAATTGGCATCATTAAGCGCATTCTACCGACTATACCACGGCGAGTGTTCTGAGGAGTTATTCTCTCTTATCCCTCTAACACCTTTTCTTCAGAGGACCACGCGCGCTGGCCTACCTTGTCACCGACTTACTGTGGCCAATACTCCTACACGAACAAAGAAATTTGGTGACTCATTTCTTCGTCGTACTATTCGTAAGTGGAATTCTTTATCCGCGCACGTGTTCCCTCCTTCCTATAATCTGGGGTCCTTTAAGAGAGGCGTGAAGAAGCATTTTTGCAGGCCGGCAAGGTGAGGATGGTTGGTGTAGCAGTTTAGAACTGCTGTACCGGCTATCTTCGCGTTTGGACTTTATCACCACTTAACATCAGGTGCGGTAGAGTCATTTGCCTACCTTGTTATAAAAAAAATATATAAATATCGACAGTGGAAAATCGCTTATACGCCACTTTGGTCGTAATTTTAATCAGATTTTTTCTGCGTCAAACTGTTTATGATTCGTAAACATTTGAGTACTTTTTGGCACATAATTTTAAACATATTATTTCTGCGTCAAATTGTTTATGTTTCGTAAACATTTCAGTACTTTTTTGGCACATAAGCAACTAAATTTTTTGAAGATTTTTATTGTTCACAACGCTGAAGCGACATAAATTTTGTGTTTTTGAACCAATGGCGCTGACGCCCTTCTATTTGGCGTATGATTTGATGTTTGCTTGCCAAAAAATGTATGGCAGGCCGAGTGATTTTCGCTTAAGCGACATCTAATTCGTAAAGTACCTGAAGCCATTATGTAACTTTTTAATAGGAGAATATTTAGATTATATTATTTTATTAATATATGTTTTTATTTTTATGACGCTATTTCTCATTTAGTTATGTCAATGAGTTATGTTTTTTTTTGAATGAAATATATTTGATCCTCGTTTCTGTAAAGTTACCAAAGTGGCGTTTGAGTGATTATGCTTTTCCACTGTCGACCACTTTGTCATCGTTATTTTTGAAGTTATACTTCTTTAGGCGCTTTATGAAAAAATGATGAGAGTGAAATTTTAAGATGCGCGCGCATCACTGTAACACAAAAAATTAACAGCATGAAGTTGGTGGCTTTAGCGACCAACTTCATGCTGTTACTTTTGTGTTTACCGCACATTAAGAAAATCTACCAACAAAATAGAAATAGAATCTCTATTTTGTGGGTGCTAACGACTGCATTGTGAAGGCCTATCAAAAGTATTTATTAATCTGGAACAACGGAACCAAAGCGCGATTCAGGAGACTACAGCGCCATCTCTTGACAATTGGTGTAGTAGATCCAAAACTTTATTTTTTGTAATAAAGTAACAAAAAGTATTTATTAATCTGGAAAAACGGAACCAAAGCGCGATTCAGGAGACTACAGCGCCATCTCTTGACCATTGGTGTAGTAGAACCAAAAACCACATCTTTATTTTTTGTAATAAAGTAACAGTTATAGGTATTCATATTTATAATATTTATCCACATGTTTCTAGTTTGTATATTCGGAATACGTGTTTGAGTTTCATACAAGTGCAAATCACATATGTTCTAATAAATTATATTCAGTAGCGATTTTAATTGAATATTTTGATTATTTATTTATTTTTTCAAATTAAAACTGAACTTTATTTTTTACTTTGTTACTTTTTTACGGTTCTTGAGTATCTCATAGGAGATTAACGGGACCAACAGCTTAAGGTGACTTCCGGAACACGGAGAAGTTCGAGATAGAAAATGTTTGGTCACCCATCCAATGACCGAACACTGCGACAATCGCAGCCGAACGCGCTAACCACTTGCGACATCAAGCTCCTCCGAGATTAATGAATTAGGTGATATTTTTGCATAATATTGACTAACTTCGCGGAGTGGGTGGTGGTTTTGTCCTGCGTGCGAATCTCGGTTAAAAAAATGTTATAATGTCAAAAAAAGGCTTTCGAACCAGAGTCGTATATTATTTTTTTCTTAATTATACTCTGTACTTTCTATCATTTATCAATTTCTATTGATTTTTAAGTCTTCAAAAACGGGTAGATACTTTTCAA